ATTATAACTTTTTCTTCTATACAAATGTTTTTTGCTGTTTTGTTTTGTGTATAGGGTGATTATTAAAACTCAAAACAGAAGGCCAAACAATATACAAAACTCAAATCAAAATTCTACCTTTTTCTGGGTTAGCTTGATTGGGCTTTGAACAACCCGGCCCAGGCGCTACGCTTTTAAGCTGGCCTGAATCTATATATTACGTAGCCTTACATAAAGTACTAACCGTAAGGTCAGTATTTTATCTTTTACTTCACAGACTTCGCGCGGACAGAGAGGCAAGGACACTCACTTGCACGGTTTAATGTGACAGGGACGGGTTTACTGTGAATTTTTTTAAGAAACAAAAACTCAGAATCATTCAGAGGAATCTGGAATGGCGGAGCCATATGACTATTTTTTCAAAATATTGCTTTTAGGCAATTCAGGAGTTGGGAAAACCAGAGTGCTGCGCAGATTCTGCCCGCCCCTTGGCGTTCCAGCTATAGGTTTGTTTAAACTTTTGATCACTTTTTTGATCCCATTTTTGTTTGCAAAATAATGTGTTACACATTAGATGCTATTCTTATTCAGTAAGATGCAAATAATTTGCCATGCTTGCCTGTACATTTCAGTATTATTTCTGTAATAAAGATTATCATTTTAGCTGTAGATGTACAGTTTCTTGCATGCAATTTGTATAGGCAATTTTAAGCTAGCTTAAATTTCGATTTCGAGTGCGATTTGGAATACATAAGTACAAGAACATTTTTCAAAGACTAAAAACAAAATTGCAAGACCCTGTAGTGTACATGTAGTTTGTAGCCTTCGAAAGATTCACGAGTGTTTATTCGTTCATTTGCTTTCGAGTGCTTATTTGTTAAATTAATAGAAGCTTAAGCTTACATCCATATTTCTAATTTTAACTTTTGCACTCAATGTGTTCTCTGCCAATCTGTGAGCATGCTAGATTTTTTGTCATCACTTTGTTCACTCTTTGACAGTGATATGACAAAAATCCATGATCAATAACACTAGTGACAGATGTAAGAAAAACTAATGGCAATTTGTTAAACTGCTTGATAAGTTGTAATTTGTGGAGAATGGAGGAGGGAGGATTACATGCATATGTGTATAGAGAATGGAAGATGCAGATCATTCCTCTGGTGCCAGACAAGTTAGAAGGTCCCACCACTTGTCTGGTCTTTTTTGGGATCCTGATTGATACCACCTGCATGGATACTTTCCTACCTGCTGAGAAACTTGAGGAGCTACTGGGTGAACTTCAGTCATGGTCTTACTCCGAAAAATGTAGGCAAACTCAACTTTGCTTACCGCATTATTCCTGCTGGCTGCATATTCCTTTGTTACCTTATTGACTTAAGCACTACAGCAAGGATGCCCCATCATCAGATCACAATGAATGTGGAAGCTCACCAGGATGTTGCACAGTGGTTAAAGTTCCTTCCTGCTTGGACTGGCCGCACAACAATACTGATACTCACTGGTCTAGATCACCAGGCCTGGAACTCTTCACAGATGCAGGGGTTGAAATGTTCCCAGACTGTTTACCTGTGCCTAGTGACAGGCAGAACATTTTTTCACCTGTCTCCACCAACATCCAATTGGAACAATATTATTTACGAATGCTGAGTGGCTAGTTTTATGAGCATTGTTTGCTTCATGTGAGCGGACATTGTCTACATTCTCTGCATTCTCCATATTGTGAACTGAAATACTGAATTCATTCACCCTTGATCGGCGAAGAAACGCAGAAGAATAAAGCAAGCCACATTTGCTGTCATGGTCATGTGCACTGCAAAGATTTCATATCCTGCTTTTATTGACTACCATGTGAGAAGTGCATGAGTGAGCCCACAGGCGGCCCAAGCTCTCAATGTTATCCTTTTTTTTTTTCCTTTTCATGCGAACGTTCAGGCTAACGTGACATATGGCATGTACTATAACATAACGACCGAATTTGACCACGCGAAACATGACTCCCGCCTTGCAGTATATGGAGGTGTTGTGTTACAATGGTTTGAATTTATAAAGGTTTGTATGGGAATGCAACGGCTTTGCTTGAAAAGTCAATTATTCTTATATTTTTTGAATAAAATCTGCTTACCCACTACTAAAAGAAAGTCTTTCTTTTAGTAGCGGAAACCCACAGAACGATAACTTGCCGAAATCGCGTTAACTCGGCCTGAGAAGCTGGCAAACAACAAAGAATACAACACAGCAACAGGGTAAGTAGATTTTATTCACAAAATATGAGAATAATTATTGACTTTTCAAGCAAAGCCGTTGCATTCTCATATAAATCTTTATAAATTCAAACCGTTGTAACACAACACCTCCATAT